CCTCAATATTTACCTGGATTTTAAAATAATATCAAGTTGTAATACCAAATATTGTAAAGTCTTACCGTACAGTATTGGGATTTTGCAGGGTTCTTTAAAATATTCCTTTCAGATTGCAAAATGTAAATTATATGCAAAATTAGCTTTGTTATATGCTGGAAAATTCCCCTGCACCCATGGTTACAAAGTTACTATGTAAACAGAACAAACTGTATTTGTTATTTTCAGACTACCTAATGCATCAGCAAATTAGTTAATTTTTTTCTGGTGTTAGAAGTATGTGATGATAAACTATGGATCTAATACATGTCTCTGTGTAGTTTAAGAAAACAAAAGGCCACTAGCCTTTAAAACGGAGTTATATAACGTATACAGTAATATAGTATGAAATTGATTTATATTATATATTGGGCTTAATACAGGGATAACTTGCTGAAATTTAATGGCCTGTGATCTACCTGAGGTCAGATTAAATGATCTAATTGTCCCTTCTGACCTTAATCTTTGAGTCTATACAGTGGTGACATAAAGGTCCTGTTTCCAACAGTACAGTATCCTATTAGATCTTATGTTTTCTCGTTTATGAAAATGGCTTTTAAATTTATTCTGGGACATATTTTTGGATTGTGACTATTACATATGCTAGTGCTGAGTCATTCACAGCAGGTGCATTACTCTTTCCTATATATGTGTGTTAACATAGTGAAAAGAGTAATGCAATAATCCAATAATGTTTTCCAAGATCATGCCGAAGTTGCAGCTGCAAAATTGGCTTGAAACTGCTGTGCACCAGTATGAGCATAATTGCCAATTTTGTGGGCACGAATACCTTTTTCTGTGCATTAAAATAGGGTTTATAGGTACATTTGCAATTTTTTAAATACAGACCCTCGTATCACTCATACAGTGAATCATCAGATACCATCTGCTTTCAAGAACCATTGCTACACAGGCAAACATTAAACAACATTTTACCAAGATCCTATGAAACTGGTTTGTAGTTCTCATGTATTTCTTTTCCCAACAGTATAAGTCACCAACGTATTACGTGTGTAATACAAGCTTTCTTATTGAAAGGTGACCTGCAAAGGGGGGAAAAAAACTGAACTTGTGCTCTCTCTCTTTTCCCCCCCCTTTCCTTTCTCTTCCTTCCTTTCTTAATTTGTTTTTGTTTTCTAAGTTTTCTTTTACAGGTATTTGTTTATTTTTACATTAGAAATTCAGGTCCTGCCTAGGTTGGAGGTCTCTATGGTGACTGAAGAACTAGTGAAACAATGACCCCACAAAATCTAAGGCTTGATCTATATTTAAAATTTATACTGGCATACCTGTGTCAGTTGGGGGTGACCTTTTCACATCCCTGAAAGACATAGCTATACTGATAAAAACCCCAGTATAGTTACAACTATGCCATTAAAAGAGTGCTTCTGTCAGCATAATTAAGATTGTTCGAGGAGGTGGTGTTCCTACAGCATCAGAAGAACTCCTGTCAGTGTCAAAGCAAGGGCACTATGTCAGCATAGTTACACTGGCATAGGCTGGCCAGTTGAGACATAGCCTGAGGCCTGGCCTACACTAGAAAGTTAGTTTGACTCAGCTACATCACTTATGGGCAGGGCTTAAATTCAGCTGGAGCCCACTGGAGCAGAGCTCTAGTAAATATTTTCAAACCCATGGTAGTCCCAGCGTGTGCCACAGGGCTGAAGCCCCAAGCCCCCGCACCCCTCCCCTGCAGGGCTAAAGCCCTGAGACCCCCTGCCCCACAGCTGAAGATCAGAGCCCCAAATGGGGTGTTTGTGTGTGGGTCTCTGGGAAATAATCTCTGAGAATTTAAACCCTGCTTAAGGGTATGAAAAATACATACCCCTGTGTGATGTAGTTAAGCCGACCTAGTCCCCAGTGTAGACAGTGCTAGGTTAATGGAACAATTCTTCTGCCCAACTATCTACTGTCTCTCAGGGAGGTGGATTACCTATGCAAATGGGAGAACCCCTCCTCCGGCATAGGTACTCTCTACACTGAAATGTTACCGTGGCACAGCTGCAGCGCTTCAGCAGGGCCGCTGTAGTGTTTCAGATGTAGACAAGCCCTTAGAGACTGAAAGCTGAACAATTGAGAAGGAAAGGGGGTGTTTCTTTCAGACTGTTGAAAACTCTTTGGCGTTATTAAATAACATGCTATTTAATCTCAATGACCAATCAATGCTTGAGAATAAGAGAAGTCTTTGTTAAAGGAGTAACACCCTCACAGCTCAATTCAAGGAGTTAGAGCTCATATTAAACTTCCCAGCGATTTCTCATAGGTACTCCAGCAAAAGCAAGGAAGGCCAGAATTCATTCCTTATATTTCTAGGCAAGAAACGAACAAACTTTATAATGTTTTGTCTCTTTATGAATAAAAATAAAGAAGCAAAACTAGCATGAAGCTAAGTTTTTATTAAATAGTTTGCAGGTTACCTGTAAGTACATAGGCACCTTCTGCCTGATTCAGTCACTAATGCCAAGATTTAGTGTCTTGACAACACAAGCCATTATCATAGAAGCATTGAAAAAAGTTGTGTTTGAGAAGCAGGCTAACGAGAAAGGGGACAGCTTCTGTTTACTGGTGATTGGCAATGACAGGAAAGGAAATGATGGGAGAGTGACAGTTTCCTAGGGATTTCTTAAATTACATTATTGTACATTGAAAAATGCTGCATGAGTTGGACAGTGATTCTTTAAATCATACAATTTTGTGTCAAAGCCATGTGACAATTCCAATCCCAGATAAACCTGTGGATTTATCCCAAATACCATGCTGTGCCTTAAGGCCTGATCCTGAAAATGATAACACACACAAGTAGGCCCATTGAATGCAGGCACACTCATGCATGAATTAAGCATTCACAGGATCAAGATCTTATTGTGCACCCTATGAATCCCTTTGACAGGATGTATGTCAGCCTGAAATGTGGCCTATGATCTCTAAAGCAGAGTTAAAAAATGAAACAAAACCTAATAAACCTTAACCATATTTCACGTCTGAGTCATTGCAAGTTTGTACAGTAAACACTTGTATACAAAATGGAAGTTTATTTTCCACAACTTAAGCTGTTTTAGTAGGTTGTTTCCCCTGCTTTGTGAACCTTCAGAATGTTAAGAAAATGCACCAGAAACAAACAAGGATTTTCTTTTATAAGTAAATATTTACAGCAGCCAACTTGGATACTTTAGATTGGGGCAGATTTACCTAAAACAGACACCAAATGCACAAGCTATGGGGGCTTGATCCTGCTCCCACTGTTACCGTTGACATGACTGATACCTCCGCTCAAAGTAGAAATGGCACTTCCTGAAATAGCAGCAGCACCTCATAATATGTGTTTGGAGTCCAAAGTAAAACTAGGCAGTTCTTTGATGGAATTGGGTAAGGCAATTTGTGCTGGATAATTCAAAACTTTTTACATGTTCCTTCACAAATAAAAACAAATCTGTTTTTCTTTATTTGGTGTCCCTGGCTGTATCCAGGATATAAATTCCCTAGTTTGTTTGGCTTAGATGTGGATGGTAACTTCCTTTGGGCCAAAAAATTCAACCCTGAAATGTGAGCTTTGTCACTACCATGATGAAGACTCCAGATATCTCTGAGGAGCTGCTCAACCCTCCTGAAACACAACCAGTCACCTACAAGGCTCTCTTGGTGGTGTTTGCCACCCTGTGAAACAGGCCACAACCCAAAGTGCATGAATCCCATGGGATATGCACAGGTCCCGAGGGATCCACAGGAGACCAGATCCATCTGTCAGAAGCCCTGTGTACTCTCGCCAGCTAGCAGCCATACCCTCTCCCACTTCCTGGCCAATGGGCTGCAATGGAGCTGCTCTGTCAGTTCTTCTCTAGCCAGTGGCTGCTCCCAGGACTCTCCTTTAAAAGGATAACCCTACATTTCCAGGGGAATGTCTGCTGGCCCAGTGGGAGGAGAGAGTGAGTGTGAGTGTGTGTGTGTGCGCACCCAGCCCAGTTCTCCACTGGCCCCCCAGTGCAACTCCACACAGGGAGAACGCAGCACAAGGTTTTCAGGGAAAGAATGAGAACACTACTGTAGTGCCAGCTGACCTTCCCTGTCCCACACTTTCTATGCAGGAGAGGAGACTTGTGCCCAGAGTCCCCTTCATATGCAGATAAAGGGAGAATGATTAGAACCTGAGTCACTATTTCACCTTTTCTCCATTCCTTATTTCCCTTGCTAAATATATTTTGGATTGAGAAAGAAGAGAAAACCTCAGAATTCCGATTGAGCTGAAGCTCAACAAGTTAAAAAATAGGTCCTGATGTAAGACTGCTGGTGATGAAGAGCATAGATCTGGGTTTGACAGGTCCAGAGAGAAAGAGAGAGTTTGCACAGCCAGAGGAGGCATATTTGTAAGCCTGGTGGAGTGCCATTATCTGAGAAACCCTCCTCTTTTATGATAGCCTCAACTCTCCACTGTGTACATTTTTAAGTAGTGTAGTTTTATGAATAGGGCACTCGATGGGGCTGCATGAGACATGACTTCTCTTCAGCACTGCCACTGACCTGCTGTGACCATAGGCAAGTTACTTCACCTCTCTGTGCTTCTGTTTCTCTTCCCACTTTTGTCTGTCCTGCCTATTTAGACTGCAAGCTTGTTGGAGTTGGCACTCTCTCTCACTAGGTCTGTACAATTCCCAATCGCAGTTGGCACTGCAATGTACAACTGTAAAACAATTAATTTTTGTCTGTCTGGTAAAACCTCATGAATTCAAGAGCGTTTCTAGCATCCAGAAAGACTCTGGGACCTCAGATTAAATTTAGAAAGCTATTGCACTGTGCTATCTACATACAAACAATAATAAAGAAAAGGCCAAGGCCCACCTAAATACCCCAAAGCCATTGAGGCTTATGGTCTTCTGGTGGCCTCGTTGCTCCGTTCTGCTGCTCCTCATTACTTTCTATAGATATAACGTCTTTTTCTCTCTGATTTTTGCTTGGTGTGGATAAATCTAGTCTCTAAACAAAACAAACAGACAAAACGTTAAGATTTAGAGACAAGGCAGACTCCTCAACCCTCTATAATAAGGAACAGAACCCCAAACTTCTTCAGGCCTTTACTTTCCAGCCTCTCTCATCATTCAGGGTGCTCAGACATTTTGACTATTGCTTCTGAAGCACAGTATCCCTGCCAGCTGAAAGGACTGGGAGCTAGGAAGGTTCTAATCTTGTTGAGAGATTAGAACTCACGCGGTGACCTTGGGCAAGTCACCTGACCTTTCTTGCACACACTCAACACACTTCAAAATTTGGGTATAAGAAGGATGTAAACCATTTGTTGCAACTGCTTAGTGCTAGACTGTGTAAACTCCATCTCTCCCAGCCATTCCCTGGGAATACCTGCACTAGGAATGCTTATTCACTGGAGTTAATGCCACTTCCACGTGCATTTTCATTTCACTTCTGCCCTTTTCTGATCCTCTTTGTTTAGAATTTGTGCATAACACCAAAAGTGAACATGCTGCATATCCCCTTTTAGTTCATATTCTCTCTCTCTTCCCCCCAACCTCTATTCCTATTAGTACCTTATCTGACAAATAAATACTAAACTAACTAACATAATTGTTATACAAGACTTCCCCTCCTGAAGTTGGTCCTATGCCTCTGTTCAGCGTAGCCTACTTTCTCGCTGTGCTGCCTAACACATAGGTTCCTCTCAAAATATACATGAAAATTACATTTTATTCAACTAATGAGTTTTACCGTTGCCACTTGGATATGAATCTCCACACTTATCTTCTGAGAAATTATCCTAAACACTCTACGCTTCAACTCAGCTCACAGATGAAAGACCAGAAGCAGGATATTGTCATGTAGACAGGGATATATTTCTTTCTATGGGGTTTTTTGTGTGCTTTTTTTTAATTTGGTTAATTAAAAAAAAACAGCTATAAGATAGGTTTCAAAGATGTTTCAGTTACCTATTAATAATAAGGACCTACATTTAAAACAGAATGACAAATTAATTTCTTTTTTATTGTGAGCATCTAGACCAGGGGTAGGCAACCTATGGCACGTGTGCCAAAGGCAGCACGCTAGCTGATTTTCAGTGGTACGCACAGTGCCTGGGTCCTGGCCACCTGTCCAGGGGGCTCTGCATTTTAATTAAATTTTAAATGAAGCTTCTTAAAATTTTATAAACCTTATTTACTTTACATACAACAATAGTTTAGTTATATATTATAGACTTATAGAAAGAGACCTTCTAAAAACCATTAAAATGTATTACTGGCACATGAAAACTTATATTAGAGTGAATTAATGAAGACTCGGCACACCACTTCTGAAAGGCTGTCGACCCCTGATCTATACTCTGTATTGCACATTATTGGAATGAGTGACCCCTTGTCCTGTGGAGTTGTAGTATGGTAAACTATTGACTGCTCTTGTAATGGAGAAGCTTTCACACCAAGTATGTACACAAGAGAAGCACCAAAAAGAGGATAGGTATTTACAAATTTGGTTATCCTTTCTAGTGTATGTGGCAGAAGAGAGCTTCCCACCTGGCAAGCCAGAATTTTTAGCTAGATTCTTTGAATATTACCTTGATCCTGAATAAGTAATGTATGATGTAGTGTGTTAATACTTTATTGTAGCTTTGCCTTACAATTTTTTTTAAAAAAAGCTACATAATAGCTTTCAGAGATGCACTGGTTACCTGTGAGTAACGATACCTAGCACTTTTCATCAGCAGATCTCAAAGAACTTTACAAAAGAAGTCATTATCCCCATTTTGCAGATGGAGAAACTGAGGTACAGGGAGGGAAGTGACTTGCCCAAGGTTACCCAACAGGCCATTGGTCAAGCTGGAAACAGAACTTAGGTCTCCTAAGTCCCAGTCCTGTGCTCTATCCTTTAGGCAATATTGCATCTAAGGTCCGGATTCATTCTATACATCTTTGTTCTTAAAGGTTGAAGTTTAGCTTTTTGCTGAGGCTGTTTCTGCTTCAGGCTTTTGGTAGACAAACATACATCAGCTAACTTGCTTTTTGAATAATTAAAGGAACATGGTAAGTAGTTTGCTGGAAAAAAGCAGGCTTACCTAAGAAGTGTTATAATATAGTGCAGATGGAAGCTTTGGATTCCAAATACCACTTCCCTCTCCCTGCACTGTGCACTTTTAACACACTTGTCACTGGAAAACTAAAAAATAAAGCACAAAATGTTTACTCTAAAAGCTGGAATGAAAAGTTCTCCAACTCTGCAATGGCAGCTAACTAACAAAAACACTCCAAGAACCACAATAAAGTCCATAAAACCTTGTGTTGCTCAGCAAGTTGTTGCTACGTATTGATATAACTGTGCAATACTACACACAAAGTTAGGGGAGAGTAATGCAAGCCAGATTGTGCTGTGTATCAATTTGTCTGTTGCTGGTAACATCCTCTTGATGGTTTTTTTTAGTGCTGAAAAGTCCTACAATACAACCTAGATTATTCAAAATGTCCTATTATACAAAACAGGGTTATGTTCCTCAACTTTAGTTTCATTGAAAATTGCCTTGATTATCTGAAATCGTACTTATCTGAATCTTTTAATGTCCCCCATGGTATGTGGTGAGGTTGTACTGAATGTATATAATGGTTTTTGTCCTGAAGGATTCCAAAGCTGTTCCTGATTGCGTACATGCTGTCTGATGCTCTATGCACACAGAGCAATAGGGAAAAAAGGATGGGGTGATGGGGAGTGACGCTGTAGCCTGGGGTATGCATAGGATAGGTTCCTAACTTTATTAAGTGCGTGTGGTCTGAATTCAGTTATGGGAATAATGAACTCCTGGATTCTAAAACCAACTTCTGTGGCACTGGGAAGTCACTTAGGGTTCAATGCAACTCCCAGTGGGAGACTCCAGTTGACTTCAGTAGGAATTTTTTTGGACTCAGTTTCTTTCTTACCTATCTCAGAAAGATGGTGAGAGGAGTAATTATATAATTAGTAAATTACTTTGAATATGTAAAGCTTATTATTCACTCAATGGGAGTCTGGTCAGGACTAAGAAGTGTTCAGTGGTATAACACCATTGACCTAGTCAGGCCTGGTCTACACTTAAAAGTTTTGTCAACATAGCTATGTGAGTTAGAAGTGTGAAAAAACACACCCCAAGTGACAGCTATGGTGGCAAAAGTCCCATGGTAGTTGCAGTTATACCTGCAAAAAAGCCCTTTCGTTGGTATAACTTATTTTATTGAAAGAACTGGTATAAGCTATACAAGCAAGAGACTCTTGTGCTGGTATAAACGGCATCTCCGTTAGGAGGGTTTGCTGGTATAGCTGTATGAATAAACACTTTTTAGAGTATTCAAGGCCTCAGCCATGGATATTGGTGAAATGCTCTATTTCAGGGGTCGGCAACCTTTCAGAAGTGGTGTGCCGAGTCTTCATTTATTCACTCTAATTTAATGTTTCGCGTGCTAGTAATACATTTTAACATTTTTAGAAGATCTCTTTCTATAAGTCTATAATATATAACTAAACTATTGTTGTATGTAAAGTAAATAAGGTTTTTAAAATGTTTAAGAAGCTTCATTTCAAATTAAATTAAAATGCAGAGCCCTCTGGACCGGTGGCCAGGACCCGGGCAGTGTGAGTGCCACTGAAAATCAGCTTGCGTGCCGCCTTTGGCACACGTACCATAGGTTGCCTACCCCTGCTCTATTGTAATTGACAACAGGACTTGAAATACAAAAATGTTTCTCCTTGTTTTGTCTGTCTACAGACAAAGAGCAACAATGTATTTTCTGTTAGAATGATCATTCTATGGAGAACAACAAAACAAGAAAGGACAAAGCTAAGGTCTTCGTGAAAGCACCCATAACTCATTAATTCTCAAAGGGGCACTATTTTCAGTGCAAGTATTATTATAATTAAATATTGTATTATGGCAGCACCAAGAGGCCCACACTAAGTTCACCATTCTGCTAGGATTTGTACAAACACAGAGCAAGAGACTGTCCCTAGAGGTGCAACTCAAAACCAGTGCAAAGCTAAGATTTTTCAAATGGAAAAAAATGTAGGCACAAGTTCTTTGAAAAGGTACAGGCATGCCACTAACATAATGCAGGGACAATATTCTCGCCATTGAGCAGAATTGCACCTAAGCTTAAGGCTGAGTTAAAGAGGCAAGGCGAATTCTGACCTCTGATACATATGCGCAACTCCCATAGAAATCTCATCTGAAAGCAGAATTCGTCCCATAGAGTATTAAAAAAAATGTAGCATACGAAGTGAATTTAGGGCCTTATCAAAACCCTCTGGAATCAGAGGGAAGGTTCCCACTGAAATTCTGTGAACTCTGGATCAGGCCCTTTGTGCAGTAGATGTAAACTTGCTTAGTGAAGAAGCCGCTAATACATGATCATTTCCCCTCTATTCACACAGAGGATTGTTTAATAAACTATGGTCAGAATTGATTAGACAGCAAAAGCTGCTAAAAAAACCACAAAAGCCTTAATTCCTCTTTGTTAACTGCTTAGGCCCAGCCCAGGGTGGTTCTGTCAACCTAGTCACCCATTTGCAGGGAAGTGGAATTACTACAGTGATGGAAGAACCCCTACTGTTGCTGTAGTACGTGTTTACACCAGTGGTCCCCAAACTCTGGGGCATGCCCTCCTGGGGGGGCATGGAGGAATGTTCAGGGGGGCATGGTGGGGCCCAGGCCAGCCCCCATGGGGGGCAGGGAGGGAGCACCACCCAGCCCCACTCTGCCCCCAGCTCCGCTCCAGCCCTGCCTGCAGCCAAGACTCCGCTCCTGCCCCCTGGCCCCGGCCCTCAGCCATGGCCCCAGTCATGGCCTCGGCTCTCAGCCCCCAGCGGTGGTCCCCAGCTCCCCACTCCCAGCCCTGCCTTGGCCCTGGCTGCAGTCCCACCCCCAGCTGCAGCTCCGGCCCTGGCCCCGGCCCCAACTGCGGCCTTGCTCCTGGCCCCAGCTCCCGGGGGGTGTGGTGGGGTGGGCAGATTACATTAGGGGTAAGGGGGAGTGCAACTTAAAAATAGGGTTACCATATTTAGTGCCTCTGAAAGGAGGACACTCCACGGGGCCCCGGCCCCGCCCCCATCCCCGCCCACTCCCCCCGCCCCAACTCCGCCCCCTCCCCAAAGTCTCCGCCCCCTCCCCTGCTTTCCACGAACATTTGAGTCGCGGGAAGCCTGAAGCAGGTAAGGGGGTGTGTGGGGGGAGGAGGCGCGGCCCAGGCTGGCCCCCCCGGCGTTTCC